TGTGATTAACTTCTTCAAATTTCACTTTTAAAATGCATTATAAAATGTTACATTTCTTAATTTGTAAAACATCTAAATTTGAAATATCAAATCCTTTCTACTCATTGACTCATCTTTAAAAGCGTTAGAAATGTTGACTGCCTTTAAGATGGCATAGGAAGTTTCAAGGCTTTGAGATGGCGTAGCAAGTCTGATTCTCCACACGCCGCTTTGTCTTTGCACACTTTGTCATGTGTGGTTCCTCCACACCCGCTGTTTGCTGCTGCTGCTGAACTGTGGGGGTCTTCGCAATTGTAAACACGGTACAAGTCTCTACTAAGGTGTGGCTGGGTGGGCTTTGCTGGCAGATGGAGAGAGCTGTTTGGGTTGTTCTGTTTCTTTAGATGATATTGAATAATATTACCCAGCCGCTATGGTTAAAAAATGAAGGGTATAGAGTTCTAACAGTTCAGGCCTTCAGTGTTTGTGGCCCACTGGAGCGTTCACCAATGAGTTCTCCTGTTTTTCTCAAAATGCCCTCCCAGTTCGAACCTAGGAGGACTGTAAGGCTCTCGGAAGTCAGTCAATATCAAAAGAGCTTGTCTTGGGTGACTTTTAGTCTTTGAAGGGCTAAGACAGTGACGTGTTATGCCCCATACTCTCACATGCTCACGTTTAGATGCTCCACTGTGTGGACTTTTGAGAGGCATGGCTAAAACAGGCTTTTCAGATCCTGTACTCCTTTGATATCTGAAGGCCACAGAGAATTATCCATCAGCTATCGTAGATCATATTCTGTGATGTTATTTCTTCCCTCTCTGTGTATGTTTAACAAGGAATCAAAGAAACAAAAACCTCAATTGCAGCTAGTCATCAAAAATATATGGACTAAATTCAGTTTTTTGTTTTGTTTTGTTTTTTGTTTTTTCTCTTCTATGTCGAAGTCAATTGAACTAAATCCAACCGAAAATGTTCAGCTAAACACTAGCAGTTTCTTATGGATTGATGACTTCCTTTCTAAGGAAAGAGGTGGAGTCGAGTATCTAAAGGAGAGGAGAATTTATAGTAGTGACCTTGGATCCAAAAAAGTATGATTCAGCTCACAGAAAAATGTTGATTGCTTAGTTGTTATTGCCACTCACCTGGATAGAACTCAAATAAATCCACAACCACTGAGTCAAAGGTGCCATATGGCTCTTGTTCTCCGCCAAGACAAAGAGACATGCATCGCACACCAAAGGCTGATGGCTTCATCTCATCTGCCTGTCCAGGGCAAGGGCACCGAGGGACATGGAAATTCACCCTCCCTCTTTCTGTGCCCTTTTCTTAGTCTCCTGTTCCCTGCAATGAGCAACCAGTGTCTAAGAACAGTACAAGGAAAATAACCAGAAATCTATGATGCCTCATACAAAGACTTCATCAGCCTTCAGGCACCGGGCCAGGGCAGTAGGATGGGTGAGCCAGCCCAGCACTGTCCCCAACAAGGCAGCTCAAAGTTCACCTTTGCTGTTTGGGTGCCAATATCCAGTAAGAAGTGTGTGTGTTTATGCGTGTGTGTGTACATGTGTGTATATGTGTCTTGATTGAGATCATCTTTCCGTATCAAATATTTATTGAGTACTTCATATCTTTCTGATAGTACATTAACAGACCTGGTTCCCGGAGTCTTAAGGATTATAATCTAGCAAATAAGACTTAGAGGCAAATACAAAACATAGAAACACAGAGAGAGAGCCAATTTGCAGGCACAATAAATCTACCAGATGAGAAACATGGGGCCTGTCAAAGTGTTTGACAGTAAAGGGCTTGACCTGGATTCAGGCTCGTACAGCTTCCCCAGTGAACTGAAATTCAAGGAACAAAAGTAGAAGATCAAGATGTGGGGGACTGGGGAGATGGCAAGCCTTTGATATATGTCTTGATGTAAGAAATATTTGGTACAGTCCCTCACCAAGTCCAGAGGATAAGATAGTGAATAGTGTTGTTATATATGCCAAGCAAGGCAGATGGAGTCATATTAGGAAACTCCGTCAAATGGTTTTATCACTGAATTGGTGTAACGGCTCGGTGAAGACAGCATTTGCAAAGAGCTCGGAGCTAAGATTTGTTGATACAAGGAAAGGCTCACCCCATCAAAATCAGCAGGGGTGGCTGGATGCTCAAACAGTCTGCCTGAGAAGAGCAAAAGTGCCAGGAACAGCTAGAAGAGAGGAAAGGGGGTCAAGAGAGAAGCGTGGAGACTCAGAGGGAAGCGCCGGTACGCTCTCTGAAGAGTCAGACTTAGGGATATGACATAAAGTGAAAGAAGCTAGGCACAAAAGACAAGTATGCTGGGATTCCAGTCTGGTGAATATATTCAGGACTGTTGAATTCAGGAGGAGAAAATAGATTGGTGGTCACCAGGACCTAGGGGAACGGGAGAGCAAAGAGCAGCTCCACTGGCCTCCATTTTGGTCCAGGGAGACATTTGACCACCACATAGAGGTGGTGAATTGCGCATCTGTCATCGGAAACACTCCCCAGTGACAAGAAGCAAGGAGTGGGGGCGGGGGTGGAGGGATAGGTCTAAGCAAAGCAAAATATTAAGTGTGGGACGTGGGAAAGTTATTCCAGCCTTTTGTTGGCTAATTGAAAGCTGTACACTGCTAGCTGATGAGGCGGGGGGTGGGGGAGCGTGCCAGCACCAATTCTGCGAAATGTGATTGAGGTTTTTAAATTTAATTCATTTCTTAGATCTTTAAATTGTTATTGCTCTTATTAAACAGCTGCAAGCAAATATTGTGACCTAACTTTTCATAGCCAAGAAAATAAAGTCGCTCTCATCTGTGGCATTCCTTCCCTGTTCCCCTTTTTCTCCTTAGAAGGAACTGCCTTGGACTGTTGGTCAGCATTTCCTCCGATTAATTTTGGTATCACAATCATATTAATATTCCTAACCAGCATAATGCCTTGTTTTGCACATCTTTCAATTTTAAATGAATGGCCTCTTTGTATAGTAACGTGTTTCTGTAGCTTTCTATACTCAACATTATACTACTGAGATTCACTTTGCTGATGTGCTTGACTCTCTCCCGGAACACCTTTCTATTTTCAATCAGTCTGACTTTGCCTCACATTTGGCTCACCTTGAAACTCGCGGTCTAAATCACAGGTCCTATTTTTCGGGATCTCATTGATTTATTCTCACTGTTCAAATGTTCTGAGAAAGCATCCCTAGTTTAGTTTCATTCTACAGGTGATGAACACTGAGTCGACTCCACTTTATTTGCCATTACAAACAGCTGATAGGAATGTTCTTACGTCTTGGTGTATGAGGGCTAAGGGGTGTTTGTATTTACACGCAGGACTGGAATTCCTTAGACACAGAGTGTGCACACCAACAGTGTATTAAATAGCACCAAGGAGTTCTGCGAACTGAGAGGTTGGTTTACATCCCCACTAAGAGCTAATGTGAGTTTCTGTTAGTTCCCAATGCAGCCTGGAAATATGTGTCAGTCTAGTGTGTGCGGTTGGCACAGTGCCTAGGATAGGGCATAGTGCCGTGGTTCCAATTTTTGTCTCTTCATTTGCCAGTAAGGTTGGACAAATAGGTGCATTGTGGTATGTGTATGCGTAGTGAAGGTTCAGTACATGTGTGTGTGCATGTGTGTGGAGGCCAAAGGCTGACCTTGGTGAATGGCTCCGGAGGAATATAACAACTATGGTTGTCTGCTGGCCTCCAAATACACTTGTCCACACATAGATGGACACCCACATAAACAGACACCTGCACACACAAACACACACCACGACCAAGAGAGAGAAGCAAGCAAAAAACAGAGATATGACGTTGTAAGATAATCCAGTTGGATCTTGGGCATGTGAATTCAAATATTAACACCCTACTTTTGTGATTTCATCCTGAAAGGCATATTATTAGATGTAGGCTAAATCTTCACACTGTCCTTCACAGTTTTGATCTTTTATCACATTTTCTTTTGTGTCTGGGATATATTCTGAATAATCTCTTCAGATAGGTCCTCTACTTCATGAATTCCCTTTTTAGCTTTTGAAAGCTCTTTAGTTTTTTTAAATGCAGTTTCAGGTACTTTAATCACTAGCTTTTTTATTTATTTCAAAGTCTGTTAGTTTTAAATATATAATTATTTTACATTCTGTTTGATAAATGCAAAGACTGAAGTCTCTCTGGGTCTTAGTTTGTCATTAGTTGTTACTACTGGCTTTCAGTCGTGTACATTGTTTCTATGTTTCTTTTGTTTTCTGTGATTGTGAGTTGTGTGAGTGTGTGTGGCTGTGTATGAGTTGTGTGTGAGTGCATGTGTGTATTTACTATAAGTACAAGTTTCTTTAATTTTATAGGGACTCTTTAGTGCTAGGTGGAATGTGAAGTCACTGATCTCTGCTAGGGAGAAACCTGAGAGTTTTCTTGCATTGAACAGCTTTACAGTGAGAGATTTTCTGGGTGTCTTCTAAAAGACAAGGGTACTGAAAAGACACGGGCTGCCAACTTGTCTGCTTATTGGTTTGTTTTCAAACGTTTTTAAGGAAGCTTCTTCAGCTCAGCGCTAGAGCAGAACTTCACGAATACTTAAGAGCAAGTGTGACTACTTTGGACACTAGCTTTATGTGTTAAGCTTCTTCTTGGATTCCCCACCAAAGCTAGTCCTAGGCTTTAACTCCTGTCCCAACTAGAGCCATGCGTGTAGTTATGGACTACAAAACTCCAGGGCTCATCCTCCATATAAATGACAATTTTCATACATGTGTAGCTTTCATGGGCAACGTCCAACCTGGAATTGTTATAATCCTGTAAATAGCAGAATTTGAAGAACTCAGACAACGCCTTGTGAGATGATTTGCCATCTGCCCTATTATCAAAGGAACTTGGTAGAAGCAGGTCTGATGATTGCGTCTTTGTGTTTTTCTCTGTTTCAACACCACCACCCGCCATCTGCCCCATTATCAAAGGAACTTGGTAGAAGCAGGTCTGATCATTGCGTCCTTGTGTTTTTTCTCCCCAGATACGGACATTCCAGTTGTTCTCCAGCCCACAAATGCAAATGAGAAGACACAGCTAATCAGAGAAGGATCTCGAAGTTACTGCACAGACTCTTGATGTTGGGCCCACAGAGGGTTCGCAGCTCCTCCTCTTGGTCTGGCCCTGTCTCTGGGTGGTCGTGGGGGAATGGGAACATAAAATGCCGTGAACGCGTTCACATTTGTATTTTATTTTTAGGTTAAGGGGGAAGATGATTGCTACATAATTTTCTCAGACTTTCTCTTTGTGTAGAATTCCTAATGAAAAGCATTCAGTTTGATGAATAAAGGCCTGAGGAGTTGTTTTATGCTGCTCGCCTAAGGCAAGACTGTGGCAGTGGACAGTCTCTGTGAGTCTGATCTCAAGGTGAGCCAGACGTTATTCCTCACCGACTCGAGTTGTAGAAGAAAAGACACTTTTCACCTACTTAGCTACACACAATAGTCACACTTGCCACATGTGTCGTAAGCGAAACACAAAGAAGAGTTGAGGAGCTTGGGTTTGTGGAGCTCCTTTGTCGATATTTAAAAGGATCACAGAAATGTGACCTGAAAGAGAAATGACATTTACTTAAAACTGAGTAAAAACAGGAACAGATGAGGGCTAGGGAATTCTTTTAGACTGGCTTTAAAAATAACAAAAAATAGTCAGCCTGGTTAAATCTTAGAACTGAGCCAGAGCATCCGCATGAGCCTGACCCAGCCCCAAGCAGTACGTTGACCACTTTCTTAGGAAAATGATCTGTGTATAACCTGCCAGTGTGAGGCCGATAAGAAAGAGAGACACACGCGAAGTAAGGGACGTGGATCTAATGTCTACAAAGTTACGTTGCAAAACATCGCTCCCATAAAATTCATTATATTGATCAGCTTCGCATGTTAGCCATCTTAGGCTTCAAAGTCACCTCGGCAGATGTTTGTTTGATCCCTTTAATCCCACCATGCCGAAGGAACCCTGGGCTGTTTCTAAAACGGTACAGCAGCAAGGCGACATGTGGCTTTTTCCTGAGCCTTTCTTAGTTCTTTATGTAACGTTCCTTTTCAAGTTCTTGTTATATTTTTTTTGCATAACATTGCATAAAGTGCCATCTTCTTTGCCTTTTGTTTCTTCTCCCCACCCCACCAAATTATAGTCAATTGCTGCTAAATATACATCATCAGTGGAAACTAGTGTTCCATCTCTGACAGTTTAGAGTCTCTGAAACTCTGCTCAGACTGTGCAGGGGCTGGAGCTTCTCCCCCTGCACACCGAAGCAGAGAGAGACTTGTTTGGAAGGCTAAGGAAACAAGTTCTGACGTGTGTGGTGACTGGCCCTTGTGTGGCCGACACTAGGGACACAAATGCACACCACACTGGCAGCGTCCTAGAGAGCTCTCTTCAGAGGTCTGTGACCACACAACAAGGACCTCTGGCTTCGGCAGTCGTTTGCTGGGGGAGCCACACGTGAAGCAAAATCAGATTGATTGAAAATAGGAAGGTGTCCTGAGAGAGCGTCAGGCACACCTACTAGGACATGTCAGGTGTCTCTAAGGGACAGCTGCAATGAGGTTTCTGTACAACAATTATATATGGGATTTCGGTGGCTTTCCAATTATGTCTATAAAGCTTGCTAAGAAACCACTCCCTCTTTAACATTGCCCAAAAACTTTAATTTATAACGGGGTTAAAAGTTGAAAGATTTTTTTTTTTTTGGAGGCCAGTGTCTTAGGATTTCTCTTGCTGTCAAGAGGCAGCATGACCATTCCATCTCTTACAAAGGAAACCATTGAACTGGGGCTGGCTTCCAGGTACAGAGGCTTAGTCCACTATCATCCCAGAGGGAAGCAAGCAGACATGGTGCCAAAGAAGGAACTGAGAGTTCTACATCACAAGTAGGCAGCAGGACGAGAGAGATACCGGGCCTAGCTTAAATGTCTGAAACCTAGAAGCACACCTCCAGAGACACACTTCCCCCAACAAGACCACTGCTACTCCAACAAGGCCACAGCTCCTAATAATGTCACTCCCTGCGAGCCTATGGGGGCCAGTCTCATCCAAACCGCTTCATTCCACCCCCTGGTCACCATAGGTCACCATAGGCTTGTAGCCATATCATAATGCAGAAATGCATTCAATCCATCTTCAAAAGTCTCCATAGTCTATCACAGTCTCAACACCGTTTAAAAGTCCAAAGTCTCTTCAGAGACTCACGGCGATTTCTTAGCTGTGACCCTATGCAAAATCGAGACACAGATCACATACACCTAACCTTCTGCCCAAGGTTGTGCACAAGTCCTTTGTGGAGGTCAATGAGAAGGGCACAGAGGATGCGGCTGCTACGGACCTCAACGTGACGAAGAGTACCTCGGTGCCACCCTCCCGCTTCTGTGCTGGCCACCCCTTTCTTTTCTTCATTCAGCATGTTAAGACCCATGGAATTCTAACATAATGGCACTGAATATGCATTACTGTTCCAAAGGGGAGGAAAAGGAGCATAGTGAGGAAATGCTGGACCAAAACAAGACCAAAAATCAGCTCAGCAAACTCCAGATTCTGCATCTCCATGTCTGTTGTCAAAAAGCCCTTCAGATCTCCAACTCCTTTCAGACTTGTTGACTGTAACACACTCCTCTTTGTTGGACTGGTTCAACTCCCTGATAGTAGTTTTCCTTGGCAGGTAGACCAGGACTCTGGGGTCTCCAACATCTTAGTTCCTCCAAGGCAATCCAGGCTTCTTCACAGCTTAGTAAAATGGCCTCTCTAGGCCTCCATGCAGGGACACCCCAACATACACCTGGCCTCAGTGACTTTCTTTAGCCATGGTGGGAGATTCCATAATGCCTTTCTTGTATTCTTGGCTCGAGAGTCAGAACCACGTGGCCAAAGCCGCAAAGTTCTGCTGCTTGCTGGGGCTGGAGCAGGGCCCCCTTGTTCAATTACATCTTCACCAGCTTTCTGTTTTCAGTGGTTTCCTTCACTGCCTAAACTTGGCTGACCTAAAACTCACTCTGTAGACTAGACTGGCTTCAAACGTAGAGATCCACCAACTTCTGCTTTCTGAGTGCTGGAATTAAAGATGTGTACCACCACACCTGGCCCCAAGATTTTCTTTAATTCCTCTTCACATGTTGAAAATGTAGTCGGGTGCGGTCTTGCTCTGAGATGACCACTCCCTTTAGTCATGTAGTATCAGGCTTTTCTTTTAACCAATTTCACTTCCTGATACCCTTTTCTCCTCAAACTGTACGTTTTATATGTTTTTTCTTGCTTCACTTGCTCCTTTTCATTGTGGAGCTGCATAAGCATAGCCCCTAAGAGCCAAGCAGGACAGTCAGTAGCAGGCTGTCTGGAAATTCCCTCCGCCAAAGTCACTGACCTATAACTTTTCAATTTTAGTCTCAGGCAGATTTTTTGGACAAGGGCAGAAAGCAGTCACCTTCTTCAATAAGGTGTCATAAGAATGAACTCTAGGCCACATATTAATATTCTTCTCCTCTGAAACCTTTTGAGCCAGGCCCCCACAGTTTAAATCATCTTCATCATCACTGTCTTCCCTGCTCCCACTGTTATGGCCCATTAACCCCCCACTTAAAGCATTTGGTTACTTTCTTAATCCAAAGTCCCAAAGTGTAGAATATGATCTCTATGTATCTAAAGAACCTAATTAGTCTGACTATAAGTATGACAAACATGAATGACTATTGGCCTATGATACCTAATATCTATATAGCTTAAAGACTAAGACTTTATATCAGAAAAGAATATTAAACAATCTTTAAACAACTGTGAAGTTAATGAAACAATGTAAACAATGTATAAGTATCTTGATCAGAGGTAGAAATATATAATGCAATATGATAAATAAGTCCTAAAATTGCATCAGTATACAAAATGTCTTAAACAGAGGCAGAAATACACATGCACACAATCTGACAAAATAACTTTGCATTGGTGTCCAAATATTGTAAGCAGAAACAGGAGCATATTCAATATAAAAATATAATTTGAACTTGTATCAATAGATAGAATCTATACCAATGTAAATTGTCCATAAATAATAACTCACAAGTATTCACTCTTACTCATTATTATTATTATGAGTGTGAGTAAGTTCACACTAATTTGCCTATTATTCAGTTTTCATTGGTGCACTAATTTGTTGTGGAAGGCTGCTTGTTCATTTTCTGGACACCCAGACTCTGACAAAGTTTTGGCAGGTTCCGGCAGAGGAGTCTATCTCCTGCAGGCAGGTACATGCCTTCTCACTGATTCTGTTTACTCTATCTATCTATCTATCTATCTATCTATCTATCTATCTATCTATCTATCTATCTATGTCTATTTTCTGTTAAGCCTTTAGCCAAAAGCAGTTTTGTTTTTATTAACCAACGGTATACAGAGGAAAATCCCACATCACCAAAGTCCACATTCCTCCAAAGGGAATCATGGTCAAATCTATCACAGGAATACCCCAGTCCTTCATACCAATTTCTGTCTTAGATGGGGTTTCTATTGCTATGAAGAGACACCATGACCATGGCAACCCATAAAGGAAAACATTTAAATGGGCTGGCTTACAGTTAAGAGGTTTAGCCCATTATCATCATGGTGGGCACAAGCAGGAATGGTGCTGGAAGAGGAGCTAACATTTCTACATCTGGACCAGCTGGCAGCAGGAAGAGAGAAAAAGATACTTTGGACCTGGGCTTGAACATCTGAAACCTCAAAACCCACCCCCAGTGACACACTTCCTCCAACAAGGCCACACCTACTTCACCAAGGCTGCTCCTCTAATTGTGCCAACGCATGTGAGCCTATGGGATCCATTTTCATTCAAGCCATCACAATCAGTAAATAAAGTTGTCTGTTTAAGATGGGGATTATCTGGGTCCGAGAGAGGAGAGAGCTGGGAGCATGCATATGTGATGGCTATTCTCGGTTGCCAAGTTGACTATATCCGGAATTAATCAAAACTCAAAAATAGGGGCATGATTGTGAGGGATCACTGTGGAATGTGAAGTAGGAAATACCCACTTCTGGTCTGGATCTTTGCGGTAGGGAAGACATGCCTTTAATCCAGATCCTTCGATCTGGGAAAGCCCACCTCTAATCTGGCCCACACCTTCTGCTGCAAACCTATATACGGACATGGAAGAAGGAAGTTTTTTCTCT